CGTATCAATTTTTTCGTGATGTATCAAATTTTTTGGCTAAGTACCTCGTCAGTGATGTATGCTCCCAAGTGGCCTGTGACTCAGAGGTTGAAGTGGAGCTCCCTAGTGGCGAGCTGTTTGGTGGCGAGCTACCTTGTGGTGAGCTCCCTGGTGGTGAACTGCCTAGTGGCGAACTACCTTGATGAGCTGCTTGGTGGTGAGTTATCTGGTGGCGAACTGCTTGGTGGTGAGCTACCTTGATGAGCTGCTTGGTGGCGAGCTGCCTGGTGGTGAGCTCCTTTGCTCTTTAGAGACCTGTAAGGAACCAAATGTCAGAGGACCTGAGGTGACTAATTCGGCGAGGTCGCTCCGATGCTTAAGTCAGTACTCTTATAATAGACTACAAGCTAAAAATCACAAAGTATGAGAGCTAGAATTTGCTTATTTGCTTGCCCACCTCCTTCCATTGGGATTTGTGCCTTTGTATAGGCATTGTTTGGCGTGGGCTTCACACACCACTTCCGAGATTTCTGCGAGGTCGTCTAAGTGGTTCGAGATTCTTGGAGGTATCCGCCATGCACGTTGACCACCCTCCGGATCGTTTGACACGTGGGCCAACTTCAAAGGATCGTGGGAGTGTTAGGATATGCATGCCAAATTTGTCGGTGAGCACGTCTCGCAGATCGCCAGGTCAGCACCTTTGCCAGGCTGTCAACTCGCGCCAGGGCCAGGTTGCGCTTGTTGCCAGCTCGTGCCTGTGCCAGGCTGCCAGCTCGTGCCTGTGTCAGGCTGCCAGCTCATGCCTGTGTCAGGCCGCACCTGTGCTAGCTCGCGCCTGGGCCAGATCGCGCCTATGCCAGGTCGTGCCTATGCCAGGCCGCCAGGTGGGACACCATCAACTTGTCTAAGACAACTTGTTGCCAAAGTGGTTCCGGGTGTCACCTAGTTGTTTTGAAGTGCCATGTGTCACAATATCATTGGAGGGCCAGATCCACCCTCATCACTAAGTTTTTCGGTGACAGACCGGACAACACGCTTTTAAGATCAGCGACAGTCTCATCTAAAAGCTCGAGACAGTCATCCAGAGCCATCTCTTGAAGTGGGTCGAGTGTTCTGCGCTTCATTCGGATGCCAGTGCAGTTAGAAGCATATGTTCTGACTTCATTGACTGTGTGCTGGACTGTAGCGGACTGGCATCCGAATGGGCGATCTGAAGATGTTTGTGAAGGTGCAATGGTGGGATTTTGATGGACTTTGGTTCCTTTTTGATCGGATTTACTGAGGAGAGTAGTATTAAAAAAGGGTTGAGAGGGTTAAGAGAAGAGGCAGCAGCACTTTAGTTATGGTTTTGAGATAGAACATGGTGCTTCAGTCTTCAGTCTTGAGGGAAGGAGAGAGCCAGGAGCAGAAAGATGGGAAGTAGAGAAATGGAATGATTGGCTAGACTCGTTAACTGTCGTGTTTGGATTAATATTGTTGGGGGCTTAATTAATGGGGTAAGCTTCCGTGGAACATCACCGGTTAAAAACAATCACACGGGCAAAGGAAGAGGAAGGCGATTAACAGTGTCATTGCCCTTTCTTGATATTTTTTATAAAAGGGTTACTCTACTTTTGTTATTTTATAAAGAAGTTGCCCTTATCTGACAGAATACTGTGCTCGTGGTCCATGGTCCCAACAAAAGAACTGATTATTTATTTATTTATTTCTTATTGAGAACGCGTTGACAATAGTATATAAAATTTATTTATCAAAATTATGCTTAATGAATTTTTAAATAATCAATTTTGGATAAGATTACCACATACTATAATCTTTAGTTTTAATAGTTAAACTCCTCTGAGCTTAAAAAAATAATGAGTTGAGATTTTTTACATAAAATAGTAAAGATTATATCTTGTGATTCACGTTTTCACTTAATTAACGACTTTTATATCTACCATGATGCCATTATATATGTTATTGTTTTTCTTAATTTTATGCATAAATACATTCAAAAGTCAATGTTGATTTGATTTGATTTCGTAAAAGATTATGATTATAAATGAACAAAAAAAAAACTAAACAGAAAAGATTTAGAAAACAAAATTATAGAATTCTTCTTCTAATCAATCATATAATAATAATAATAATAAAAAAAAATAAGAATTATCAAAATCATTTCCAAACAAGAAATAGAAAACATTGTATGTAAATAATAAAATTACATCCTCAAGCCTCTACAGCAAAAAATTGTGGTTAGGCTAAAGCAGACAACAACGGGGTTCAAGAATTGATGTGTAGTCGAATCATAGGAGCTAATCACCGATATGCTCATATTGGTGACGTTATTGTTGCTGTAATAAAAAAAAGTAGTGCCTAATATGTCTCTAGAAAAATCTGAAGTGATTAGAGCTATAATTGTATGTACATGTAAAGAATTCAAATGTGACAACAGTATGATAATACGATATGATGACAATGCAGTAGTTGTCATTGATCAAGAAGGAAATTCAAAACGAACTCGAGTTTTTGGTGCAATCGCTCGGGAATTGAGACAATTGAATTTTATTAAAATAGTTTCATTAGCCGTTGAGGTATTATAAATACTAATAGATGGGACCATGATAGGTATCTGAAATAAATTAAATTAACTGAAAACTGAAAAAAATCAATTAAAAATTAATTAGTAGATTGTGTCTCACGCATATACTTTTAAAATTCATAAAAAAACACAGAGTATGTTAATTATATCAAAACTCAGAGGCACCATTAATTATAGTTTGTTATGGGTAAGGACACTATTGCCGACATAATAAATTCTATAGGAAATGTTGACATGGATAAAAAAAGAACGATTTGAATAACATCTACTAATATTACCAAAAACATTGTGAAAAGTACTTCTATGAAAAGGTTTTATCGAAAACGTGAGAAAACATCAGRAAAACAACAAATATTTTTTGGTTTTAACCCTACGACATAGAAGAAATAGGAAAGGGCCATATACAACTATTTTAAAACGTATTAGCCGATCCGGTCTACGAATCTATTCTAACCATCAATGCATTTGACCCCAAAGATAGATTATTATTAATTTATTATTATTATTATTATTATTATTAAAGAAAATACATTTGAATGCTTGAACTTTTTAATAAAGAAAAATCTAGTAAAATAATGAAGATACTTTTTTGTATAAAGAGAAATTTGGTGATTTTTTTATGTAGATTACTTAAATGGTTAAGCGTCCCCATAATTTCCAACAATTGACCTCTTACAGCCTTCCTGCTTGCTTGGGCAAATGAAGTTTTAAATTAACAAGGAAAAAATCCACTTTAGTACTCTGAACTTTGGGGTAGTGTCAAGTTAGTATCCAAACTTTCAAACATGTCACTGTAGTACCTAAACTTTCAAAAAGTGTCAAGTTGGTCCTTGCCGTTAACCAATAGTCAGTTATCTATTGAAAAGGTCAAAACTACCCTTCAAAAGAAGACATTGTTTATTGTCTTCTACCTTTAGACTGAACCGATTGAGGTCTTTGAGATTCTAGACTAATGAAGTTGTTGTCTTCTACCTTTAGATTTGAAACACATTATTGTCTAGTTATTTCTTTGCTTTCAGTTATTGTTTTCCTCTCATATTTCATATTTTTTTCTCTCTTTTTCTTTGAAGATAACCGATTCAATCTCAAGGTAGAAGACAATCTTTTCAAGGGTACTTTTGACATTTTCAACAGATAATTGACGGTCAATTAACGGAATGAACCAACTTGACACTTTTTGAAAGTTTAGATACTGCAGTAACACATTTAAAAGTTTGAGTACTAACTTGACACTACCCCCAAAGTTCAGGGTACTAAAGTGGAATTTGCCCAATTAACAACAATAACAACAAAAGCACAAAAATATCAATGTAAATAAAAATAAGCTACAATTTAGGGGGAGAGTGGAGAAGGGATTTTGTTCAAAGATATTTCCTCTAATTGTTTTCATTTTCTTCATTGATATTTCTATGCGTTCTTTTTTTTTTTTTTTATCTAAGTATATTTTAATATTTTTATCCGTAGGGAAAAACAGAATGCTATTATGCTTAGAAGCATGATATAACCTTTTTGTGTTAATATTTCAATATCAAATTAATGGAAGAGGTCAATTCGCATAATTTATTTAAAATGTGAAAGAAGGTTATTAGAGAGGAGTCCGGATCTATTCTTCAGAGTGCCTCACAATATGTCTCAAGTTGCACATGACATCAAAAATCTCTATTGTTATTTATAGGGAAATGTTCTCAATACACAGTGAGATGGRCCTGTAAAGTCAGTGTGAAAGGGCCGATCCCGATTCATTGGAGAGGTCAAAGTAAAAAAAAAAAAGTTAGAAATTATAGGAGGTAATTTATCCTCTTCTTGTAATTAAGATTTTGAGGGGGTGGGGTGGGCTAGATTGTATCTTTCTTTGCATTAGCAAAATTGTATTGTTTTTGGTGATGTAACAGTTATTCCAACCATTTTGTAGAACATCCCTTAAACTTCCATTTTTTATTTGGAAAAAAATATAATTGAAAATGGCTCATTTAGAATTTACAATTTTTTGAGGGGGGGGGGTCTTTTTGGGACCAAAAGCAATTGCCACGTGGAAAGGTTCTCAAATCCTTTAAACTCCTTCATTAAAGGACTAGGCTAGCAAAGCCATCTCCATAAATCTAAGTTAAAGTATTCTAATAATCTCCATATCCTTGTCAAGACTAAAAGACGATTAGCTATAGGGTATGAAATATGACCTCAACGAAGGTTGAGAACTCCTTGAGACACTACAGGGCAAAGGCAAAGTTGTCCATCCATGGAGTCCTGAAAAAGTCATCTCTCAAATATACAGAGGTAGGAATTCACTAAATAAACCACTCTCAAATCCGAAGCCGAAAATAAAATATAGAAATAAAAATGAAGACATATAACTCGAACCTCATTTTCTCTTTTCATTAATTATAGACTTCCAAAAATCACCATCCCTTTATGTTGATTATATTAATTAAAAAAGTGCTTTACACACGAAGTAAAAGATTTGATTCATTAAAATATTCACTAAATCTCCTCAACAACAACAATTGTGGGAAGTTTCTTCCCTCAGAGTTAGCTCTGTCTCCACTAAAATTAATAGCTTCAAATTTAAGTGGGTGGGGGTTGGTCAATACGAATGAATTTATTTCTTCAAACAAAAACATTTGTTAACACCAGCAAAATATGATCACGAGTCAGAACCTAGAAGGTCCTACTCATATGGTACAGCAGTATGGTGTTATCCAAACCAAAAGACATGATATTCAGTGAGGAAGCATTATTTTAAAAATATTGCTATTGGGCCTTTCATTAGACAAAATAAGCATCACCTTTCTCAGTCTTCACATCTTTGTTATATAATCTTTTCTCCTAAGAACTAAACTTTTTTCAAGCCACCCTAGAAAGATAAAATAAGTGGAGAACCTAACATGTTCTCACTCACACGGACCCATCTGCATTGTTACCATTACTCCCTCCTCTCTTGCCTACAGTTGTGTTCTTCAAAATCTGCAATTAATACAAAGAAGCATCAGAACTGTTAAAAGATTAACAAAACTAATAATTTAGTAAAAGATAAGAAATTACTAATAACTGAAGACCCTTGTTTACTCAGATACCCATAAAAGATTAAGATTCTAAAATAGATTCTAATAGGAAAGTATTTTACGGTGATGTTGAATAAATGATCAAATACATTCATAAAGAACGTCTTATCCTAGCTTATGTGTTTTCATCAAAACCCTTTGTGATGGGAAACCGAAAAAAAAAATCACATCTTATTTGATCAAACTAACCATCAAATGAAGGGTCACCTTTCAATATGTGGCACTCATTTTCTAGTAGCTAAAGAAGGGACAAATGGGTGATCATGATGAGATGGCATGAGTACCAAGTGTCCAAGAATGTACCCCCATGCCTCAGTATTTATAGAAATCAAATAAAAATCAGAGGACTTGTGGGTCCACCTACCCTCCACTTTATATGCCCATGGCCCTTTGGCCCTTAGCAATCACGCAATTGGTGATATTTTTGACTTGCCCAATATACCCCCTCTAAGAAATTCCCACCAATTGATGATGATGATGATGATGTATGTATAAGATTTCCCCATTATGCATGTGTGCAACCATGAATTCATGTTAACAGTAAAATCATATGATGCACAAGTCTTTTTATGGTGGTGATGATGATGAATAGGAATAGTCATGTCATGATGGTGATGGGGTGCATACTTGTCTAAGCATTTGGTTCTCATTTTGTAACGTGGAGAGCTTCTCTTCCAGCTCAGAGTTCTTTTGTTCCAAGTCCTTGACCTTCCCCTCCAGCTCATTCAAGTACGCCTTCTTTCTTTCCCTAGCTTGTTGGGCTGAAACTCTGTTCCTCAGCAACCTTCACAAGCAATCAACAAAACTTAAATAAGGACTCTCGGTGTATCCGTACACCCGTGCTCCTCCTCCTCCTCCTCCGACTTTCTCAGTTGCCCGAAAAATGACAGGCGCGGAAGGATGTCGGCTTACCTTTTCAACCGCTTGGTTTCTTTGTCAGCCGGGCTTCTCCCTCTCTTTCGATGAACCACTTCTGCGGTGGCTTGAACGTGGGCAGGACCTGCAACGGAACTGGCGTCTCTGCCCGAGGTAGACTGACCGGCGGCTTCGCTTCCTATTTCCGGCACTCTCCTTATCTCGTCATCGCTCTCCAATCCTTTTTAATCCAGCACAAAAGGAAAAGAGAAGATAAATCCACCGAGAAAATCAAGGACAAAGTCGGAAAACCCATTTTCTTCTTTAAAATAATATATATGCAAAAGAATCTTACGGAGAATAATCCATTTCTGGAAGAGAAACAAAAATCCCACATGAAAAATAAGCTTCTTCTCCAAAACGCAGAAGGAAAGGGGAAATAATAAAAAACAAAGGCAAGGAAGATATCAAGATACTAATAAATTTCTTCAAGTCTCGAAAAAGTAAAGTTAGAAGCAGAGTGCTTTTCCTATAAAATTCGATAAAATATCACCATTTTTTCGGCCAGAAGAACATGACCCGGATGATTAAACCTAATAAACTAGCAAACCCACTAAGGAAATCAAATGAAAAATCCTAGATAAAACTTCTCTACGATATCAATGATAACTAGTTAACTACAGTTGTTCTGTAACCAGAGAAGGTTGGAAAAAAAAAAGAAAAACTTACCTTCTTTGGCTTCTGGTTGAGGAGCAGAGCTGGAAGATCTCTCACTACTCGAAGGCAGCGAATTCGCAGCGATTGAACTTGCTGCTTGCTCTTGCATTTTCGTCTGCATAGAACGAGATCGAGAAAAATTCTTTCTTTGTTTTGTTTATTTGAGAGCGGAAAAGAGCGGGTTATTATTGATACTTGATACGGTTAGTAAGGAGCGTTTGAAGAATATATGACAGCCGTCGGTTTCAATTAATCGGACGGTTGTGAACAGGTTAGCGTGGAAGGCGGAGAGCCATAAGAGGGTTAATGAATCCAAAGGCGAGGAGAAGGAGAGCGTGGGGTGTCGGCAACCGTGGGATGGAAGACAGATCGAATGGGCGAGGAGGTCGGTGCAATGAATAAGGACCAGGACATGATGTGCTGGCCGAAGTCTCTCGATGGTGGAGAACGCCTATTTGATCACAATTACGAAAATACCCATTAAGTTTCTATTATTCACGTGAATGCTTACTTATTATTATATATATAGATTCAATTGGTTATTGAAAACCGAGACCAGACCCTTTAGCTGAGGGATAGTGCGAGGGTACAACTACAAGCACGCTACGGATAGGCGGATAGCTTTCTTACCAAAACAAGTAAAAGATTCAAGACTAGGCAACGGAGTTTGGCTCTGTCTTTGATGGAATGTCGTTCCGATCATCCGTCGGTGGAAATACTGCCACGTAGCCTAGCCTATCCAGTTAAGTTCAGATTCCTTCAACCATGTGAAACGATGATCGGCTCCACGTGATATTGCATTGATCATTGGACCACTGGGAAACTTCCTTAACCGGGCTGGGTTAAGTGGGCCTGGACTATACGGATCACTGATGTGCTCACTGTTGTACACGGATCCAGCGTTTCAGCATAATCTGTTTCTACATATTTATATAGATGATGATGATGGCTATTTTTGGTTATAAATAGGGCTGTTCATTGTTTGGTTTAAATCGTAAAATTTAGCCGAACCAAATTGAATTTGTAATTTGGTTCACGTAGTACGTAAAATTGATTTGGTTCGGTTTCAAATTTTGTTAAATTGCGGTTTGTGGTTTGGTTTGGTGTTTTAAATTTTATAAATCAAAACAATCATAAATCATAAACTGAAATTATATATAATATATAATATAATTATATAAATAAATGATGTATAAATATTATATATAATATAATATATCTATACTGAATATATAAAATTATAAATATATAATAAATTCTTTTGTTTTAGAAATAAAATAATAAAATAAAAGTTTTAAACTTCAATTTTTAGGATGCTATTTGGGCTTTCTACTTGGGTTAAGCCCAATAGAGGTCCAAAGTTCCCCAAACCATATTAGAAACCATGCCAAATGGTAATAAAACAGTTTGGCCTGATTTGATTTTCAAACCAAATTAAGAATTTATCAAATTATAATTTACTGGTTTAGTTTGAAATTTTCTCTAACTACACTGAACCGGACCATCAACGCTCCTATTTATACAGCCTTTAACATGGCCAATAAGTTCGGCTAAAGAATTCAAATGGCTGTGGAACCAATGATAATGCCCCAAAGAACCATACCGACCATAAATGCTAAGTGAGAGAGTAAGGCTGCATTTGGATGCGATGTAAATCAAGAACCAATGTAAATTATTTTGCGTTTGGAAAGAGGGTATAATTATTATCCACGTAAAATTACACTCAGGTTCAGTTTTGTATGCATTTGGATGGAGTGTAGTTTTACGTCAACAATAGATGTAAAACCTCATCACCTCTAGATGTAAAAACTACATCGATTTTATCAATGTAAAACTTTACACTTTTTCCACCTATTACTATTTTCAAAAAAGCAATAATCACTTTATGGTCCAGTATAAAACGTGATCGATGTATTTTTACACTAATGATATTTTACACTGATTCCAAACGCAACCTAAATAGTTGTGGGTCATATATATCTAATGACTAATGTAGGGCATTATGATTGATTCCATAATCCGCTAACACAGCCATTCCGACTATTCCAATCTCCTTACACAGAAAAAAAAAAAAACACAATGCACGCGCATTGTATTCTTGTCCTTGCAAAGCAAAAAAACTTGGGAAGGGGGACCCTTTGCTACTATGCCTTCATGGTTTGGAAAAGAAAAGGACAGTAACATGTGGGCTCCCATAGTAATGACTAATGACAATAGAGAAGAAAAAGATTTTAACATATAAAATATTTCCACATATCCGATCTATCCCTCCCAAGACCGTGGATGGTTGGGACCATCATTGGATAATGACCCTTTCTTTACTTTCTTTCCTAGGCTGATTTTCATCTTGTTTGGACATTCAATGCCAGTTGAAATGAAAATGACTTCAATCTTAATAAAAGTGACTTTCATGACTTTTGAATCCATCATTTAACTCTTCTGATGTTGGTACATTTGTAACCTTGGATTCAAAATGAATTCTTTTGAATTCAAAATCTTGACAAGTAATTTTCATTTTTTGTTATTTTTATTTTATTTTTAAAATTAATTCTGTCAAAGGATTAAAGTGTTGATATGATATGTTAGAGACAAAGTAAATGGTATTAGTCTCGAAGGCCATTGAGACACAAAAAAAAAAAAAAAGTCTGGGGGTTTTGAATGTTTGGATGACAGAATACAACTTCATAAGTTTATCCCACAATTATAAGGCTAAAAATATATATATATATATAAAAAGAAATAGATGAATCAATTAATAGATACCCACGATATCTTTTTTTAAGGGTAAATTTCTTAAACTACCCCTACTGTTTATCTAATTGATTAACACTACCCTTCCTTTTTAACAATTGTCTTAAATTACCCCTACTATTTCTAACAATTACCATCATCGTTAAATCTTGAGGGGAATGATAAAATAACAGTTTTGCCCTTCTATTAAATGTTGTCTAAAAAGGATATCTTTTGCGGTCCAGAAAGAGGAACTCTTACCGTTGCAACTTCCAACCAATGATGGTAGAGAACATGAATAAATCTCCTCAGTTGATCGATCCAATGATCTTCAGGAACTTGCTCTACTTGAGCTCTACTTGAACATCTATAGATCTTTTAGTTGCTATATCTGACGAGATTTCTTTAAGTTCGCGGTGGCAACAACAATGACAACGACCATTAAGATTCAATGAATGGGGTTAAAGAGTTCCTACTTCATAAGAAACAACTTCTTCTCTGCTAAAGTTTCTCCCAACTACTTTAGCCGAATTGCATTCCTCCACCCCAACAAGATGCCCTTGGAGGGATATCCAACAAAGCTGTCAAGTTGAGTGGATGGGGGAGCTAGAGGAGAAGTGATGACAGATAGAAGGTGTCGAGTAAGGCACGATGAAGTCGATGGCAAAGACCGTCAAAGACCAGTTGGTAGTAATTTCCAGCTTCATCAAAGTTCATTTGGAAACACCGACGATAGTTGCAACGACGACGTAAAAATGTAGGAACGACATTACAGTTGCAACCATTTGATTGATTTAAGAAGGATAGAAGACTTCATTCGTCTTTAGAGTCATTGTCATTGTTGTTGGAAATGTGGCTTATTGAAACTTGGAGGAGAAACTCTAAGGTGTGTCTTTAGAACGTTATTTGCCCCTCACTTATTTCCACTTTACTGTTGGGTTACAAGCAAATCCGTTCCCAAGATACAATAAAGTCTTGGACGAGAGTCTACAACCAACAAAGTTGAAGATTCTCTTAAGAAACCTTTTGTGAGACAATAGCAGATCGAATAGAGAGACATGAGTGATTTTTGAAAAGCTTGTGTGTGCGTTTGCTTGATTCATGCCCCTTAAATAATTTATAAAGTCATGGAACAGTGGAAGGTACTGGTTCAGAAAAATGTTCCTTAAATAGTCACAATTTCAAATATTGTGATTCTTAAAAAGGTAGTTAACATTTAACAATTGTTAACTTTGAATAGTGCCTCTTGATCACACTTGATCGAATCGTAACCACTAAAACATAGACGGTCAGCCTCGCACCAAAAGTTAAAACCACTCTTTGAGAGCAAAGTGCACTTCTAAAGCGCATGGACACACGTGCACGCGTGTTGCACAGTAGCGAGCCTTCATACTCTCATCTTTATTTTTAAGGAGTGTAAATAAACTCCTATTTAAAATCTCAAAACAAGTTTTATAATTTTTCAATATGAGACAAGTTGAAAACTGGTTTTAGTAAGAAAAAAACTATTTTCCAAAACACATGTGCAGGTGTATTTTTTAATGTGATTGATCAATCAAACTCCATTGAATTTAATTTCTAATGAAATTAAAATCTAACAATCATCTTCAAAGTCTTTGTTGTTCTCTGCCTTTAGACTGGCCCTATAATCTTCCTTGAGGATTTTCGACCACTTGGGTATGTGTCAATGGCAACGACATTGCAGTTGCAGTCGCTCCACCACTCCGATCAGCATTCCAATATTGTACTATTCCAGTTGCTACTCCATTTTCCATCTCAACTATATCAAGAAATGGGCTTGAGCACTGGATTTATTGAATTGTCTGTGGAGAAGAATCAAGGCTTAGAAATGGGCTTGAGCACTGGCTACAATTCGTACAACGATCATCGTTTACTTTAAGAAATTTCTTAGAGTAGAAGTGCCTTGGTTGCTGATCCGTACAGCTCTGGTACGGACTACATCCGACGGTCTGATGGGCGGGTTGTAGCAATTGAAGAAGCTCCATGGACAACATGTCGCAGCCGTGGTGACCGTTCGAGCCACTTCAATGAAGTCGTTCTGCAATGAGATACTGATACTTTCTTCGGTCGTTCACCCGAACCTTGTTAAGCTTCACGGATACTGTATTGACCCGAAGGGGCTCCTCCTCGTTTATGAATACTGGTCGACCATCTCCATGGGTCAAAGAGCTTACGTAGAAAAGGGTCCTTGACGGGGCAGGTAAGAGTTGATATAGCTCTACAGACGACATTGGCGCTTGAATTCCTCCACTTTACGGTCAGATCGGCGATCGTTCATAGAGATATAACTTCATCGACAAAGAAATGAAGGTCAATGTAGGAGATTTTGGGCTTTCGAGGCTTGTAGGGGATGATCTGGGTTTCTATATGTCGTTCGCAGAAAACAGATCTGAAGCCGGTGACTCCATCTCCTCCCGAGAAATCCAAGG